ATGTAAGACTGCTCTTTTACACTGTCTCTGTTGCCATAGAGAGTTGATTACTTACAAGTCTGTGCTACCAACATCTTACATAATATATTTATGGCATATCCAGAAATGTTTAACGTTTTATTAATTTTATTATTTATTTATTTTTTTACATCAATCTACACAAAATACACCAGAATGACAAAGCAAAAACAAGATTTTAAATGTTGCAAAGTTGTAAAAAAACAAAAAAATTGAAATATCACTTTCACATAAGTAGTTAGACCCTTTGCTATGGCACTTTCATTTTAGATATTAATGCACGTTGATTAGAGTCCACTTGTGGCAAAAGCAATTGATTGGACATTATTTTCAATTTCATGAACATGTCTGTATAAGGTCTCACTGCTGTAAATGCATATCAAAGTAAATGAGCTATGAGGTTAAAATGACTGCATGCAGAGCTCAGAGACAAGATTGTTGAGCAACGCATCTGGCGCAGGGAAGGTTACAAAATCTTTTTGGCTGCATTGAAGGTTCATAATAGCACAATGGCCTCCATAATTTTTAAATGGAAGAAGTTTGGAACAACTCCTGATTTCCCAAACTGGGCAATCAGATGAGAAGGACATTGGTAAGAGAGGTGACCAAGAACCCCATGGTCACTCTGGGTGATCTCCAGAAAACATTTGTGGAGATGGGAGAAACTTGTAGAAGAGCAGCTATCAATACAACACTCCACTGATTTGTCCTTCATGGCTGATTGTCCAGACGGAAGCCTCTCCTATCTGAAAGACACATAAAAAGCCCACATGGTATAAAAAAGCACCGAAAGCTTTTAGCTTTTTATATTTTTACAATGGAACCTGTCAAGGGATGTAATAGGCAGCAAATGAACAGTCTGTTCTTGAATTTCATATGTTGGAAGCTGGAAAAATGGGCAAATGAAAAGATCTGAGTGACTTTGAGAAGAGCTAAATAGTGATTGCTAGATGACTGGGTCAGAGCATCTCCAAGTCTTGTGGGTTGTTCCCTGCATGCAGTGGTTAAAACCTACCAAAAGTGTTGTGAGGACGGATAATCGGCGTTCGGGTCATGTGCGCCCAAGAAGCATTGATACATGTGGGAAGCGAAGGCTAACCTACCTGGTCTGATCATACAGGAAAGCTACTGTAGCTCAAATTGCTAAAAAAACTTATTGCTGGCCATGATACAAAGATGTCAGAACACACAGTGCATCATAGTTTGTGGTGTATGTGGTTGAGTACCCTCATACCAGTCAGAGTGCCCATGACCTCTATCCAGCTCCAAAAGTGCCTTCAGTGGAAACGTGAGCTTCAGAAATGAACCATAGAGTAATGGTTACCTGGTCTGATTAATTAAGTGGGTTTGTTTTTTTTTAAATTTTAATATCAGGTGGATGGTTGGGTGCATGTGTGTTGTTTAGCTGGGGAAGAGATGGCAGCAGGATGCTCTTTGCACTATGGCAAGAATGCAGGCAAGTGGAAGCAGTGTTATTCTCTGGGCAATGTTCTGCTGGGGAACCTTGGGTCCTGGCATTCATGTGAATGTTACCTTGACACGTACCACCTAACTAGAAATTGTTGCAGACCATGTGCACCCCTTCATGGAAATAATGTTCCTTGATGGCAGTGGCCTCTTTCAGCAGGATA